CGAAGTCCAATACAAGCCAAGGGGCTTTTATTAGCATCTATAAGGGATCGAAATCCTGTTATATTTTTTGAACCAAATCTATTACCTAATTTACATAACTGATACAATTATAATGAGAATATATTAACACCCCATAATGCATCCAGTCGCAACTAGTAATAATTTTTCAAATGTGCGTTTTCTGTTACCTTTACAACCTTTGACGATGACTACTCGTAAAAGATATACCACCATCTGCATCATCCGAAACTACTGTAAAAATCTACCTTGCATAGGTTCTGGGACATTTTTGAACAATTTTATAAATTAAAACTACTCAAAATTTTATTAAAATAATCTACTTTAATTTTTTTAAAAATATATTCAGCACCTAAAAAAATAGATAATTGTATATTTTTTAAATTAACTTATTAATTATTAAAACTTGGGACTTAGTTGGGACATTTTGGGACGTTGGAACATATCAAAAAAGCTTGGGACAGTAAAAATACCCATCACTAGGTTCTGGTGAAAAGTTACAATGGATAGGATGATCGTTCAAATCAGTCTGAATGATCCGTCTTTAATATTCCACGACCTCTTTGATAGCATCATAACATCGTATTGCATCGGGAAGATAGAATTTTTCAAAAATTAATGGAAAAGGCGTACTAAAAGAAGGAAATTTTATAATTATTTATAAAAATTCGTTGCAGAAAAACTTCAAAAGATTGATAAATTACAAACTCACTTCCATCCACAGACTCTTTGAATTGGCGACTCTAGTCTCAAAAAACATCTCTCCATTATACTCGCAGATATTTCTGCAGAAAATCCTGATGCTTGAGGCGCTTCATGAGAAATCACTAATCTACCGGTTTTATTCACAGACTCTGCGACTGTTTCAACATCCCATGGCAAAATTGTCCTTAAATCAATTAGTTCACATGATAAACCTGGTATACTTTTCTCGGCCATTTGTATAGCCTTTTCCAGAATATATATTTGCGACCCATATCCAACAACTGTAACATCTTTACCGGTTTTTAAGATCTCTGCTTTACTTAAAGGCAATTCGTAATCATCAACCGGAACTTGTTCGACTAATTAACATCTATATTAGCTAATTATTAGAATTAAAACTGGCTGAACGTTAAATTAAAATTTACCAGCAGCACGATATAATATCTTTGGTTCAAAAAATATAACAGGATTTCGATCCCTTATAGATGCTAATAAAAGCCCCTTGGCTTGTATTGGACTTCG